CGAACCCGCGGGCTCAGGCAATCCACTCATCTCAGCCTCCCAAAGGCGCGGGATTACAGGCTGAGCCACCAAGCCTGGGTAGAACAATTATATTAAACCTGAACTTCCTCGTCTATAAAAATGGGAAAACAAGTTTCCACACACCTCGTAGGGCTGATTTAACTGAGATAATGCATATAGAAGGCTTAGCACTGCCCTGGATCCTCAGGAAATGCAAACAATTAGTATTCTTTCTGCTGCTGGTAGAAAAAAAGCCCAAATCCTTTAAGGCCAGAGGCTCTGACTCTCCTCCTGTGGAATGCATGTAACTCCTCTGCCTGTTCTTCCTTTCAGCTCAAAGCCCTTCCACTGTTTTATTCTCCATGTCCTGCCTCCAACACAATGGAGCTTCTTCAGGGTAGTGTGCGCTGTGGAGGGCTGCCACATACCTTGATGTTATTGGAGTCTGTAAGGAACATGGTGACACGGTCGATGCCCATGCCCCAGCCAGCTGTTGGGGGCAGCCCATATTCCAGGGCAGTACAGAAGTTTTCATCTATGAACATGGCCTCATCATCACCAGCAGCCTTGGCCTGGAAGAGGAAAGAGAGTCAAAAGGTGACATTCTTCCAGAACATCTTACTGAGAGAACACATTAAAACACTCAGAGGTTGTAGAACCATCATTCCAGGGATGCTCCTGACACTCAGGACTTGCTGGGAATTGATTTCCCAGTAACTCCAAGATGGAGCCATTTCTTACTAAGACCTGGAGGTCCGGATTGATGAAATCTATCTCAGAACATATACAAATTTATCTGAAATAAAACACTTCCACTGCTTGGGGCTCAGGGACTCCAGTGAGATTAATTTCAGAGCCACCTGACGATTCCCAAGAGTCTTTCTCGCATTTTCTGAAACCACCCATCAGTGGCAATGACAGTTGCAGGCATCCTATGGGACTGTTTTCTTCATTAATTTCTATCTGCCTCCCATCCCCAAGTCACCTCCATAAATATACAATCTAAGAAAAATGTTCAGCCGGGCTCGGTGGCTCAGCCTGTAATCCCGCGCCTTTGGGAGGCTGAGGTGAGTGGACTGCCTGAGCCCACAGGTTCGAGACCCGCCTGGGCAGCGAGACCTCATCTCTACAATAAATCAAAAA